TCACTCGGTTTCTTCAGACCTGACCACCCAATCCGGAGTGCTACGTCCTCACAACACCAGCATACACTACCACTTTTTACTCCTTTAGACACGTAATCAGGATGCTTTTAGTTCACCTGGGTTACAGACGTCTCGCCTCGCACCCAATTCACATTCTTTTGAGAGGTCTTTAGAGAGTCGTTGAATGTGTCTGATTTTGCACGAGAAATACCCCCAACCGAAGGGGGGTGGTGGGGGTGGGGAGGGGTCAAGTTCTGCGCATGTCTTTTCAGTCATGCTTCAATCTTTACAAAATCAACTTGCAACTAGTTTATTCGCCAAAGAGCATTTAGCAAACTAGAAAACAGATTCGCCTACCAGTGGTAGTCGGTAGTGACCTCTTGGATGTAGTGACAGTACCTGTTGGTGCGGCTGGAGTTAAAGGAAGCTTTGACGGTGCAATGAGACCGGAGGTATTTTTTCGCGGATCTGTAATTGTTCCATACAAAATCAAAGACCAGCTATATAGTGTACCTAGAACAAATGGCAAAATACATTACGTCTGTTCAGTAATAGATCACAAGTGTAACAGATCACAAATGCGGTAAGATCATCAGTGACACACTTGGCAATCGCCTCGTCTGCCACCTTTTTGTTCTTACCACATTGTGAAATTTCATTTTAAAGCACACTTTTCTTCTGCGTACTGGGATTACAATGATTTACTGGGATTACTAATATATACCCAATAATTACGTTCGTGTTTCCAGGTAAAAATCTGGAAAGTTACAATTTTAAGGGAACACAATCGTGATTTGTTTCAGTTCAGTATTTTAGCCACGTAAAAACTAACCATTTAATTTGGCGGAAGGAAACCTGAAAATAGTTGCTTACTATTAAAGATAGATAAACACCAAAGAATAATAAACCATAGAGGAACAATTGCAAGGATACTTAAAGATAGAGAAGATTGACACGGATTACAAACTACGAACTTGAAAAATTTTGGCTAAACTTTTTAAGATGCACAAGCTGTGACGTAGCTCCTTTAAAGGGGCTTTAATAACGATGTGTAACAACGTAACATTAGGCCCAACTAGCATCATGATGCAGTTTGTTTTAAGCATTCACGAGACGATAGGCAAAAGCTATAACAAACAAAAAAATGATTTCGTGGTCGAAGATTCAACAAAATCTCCTGTTTTTCGTGTATGGAAAGTCCTGGTTTATCGAGCAGGTAAACTTCGCTTACGAGGAATGTGTTTTGGTTTTGCTGGTAAGAAGATTAATTCTTAAGTATTCTGAGACTTTTTTCCCTGAAAAAAAAAACAAAACAACAACAACAACAACAAGCAGCATTTACGTACCTGTACTCGGGTTTTTTGGATCAAAATCTCTAACACTTAGTTCCCACTTCCCTATGGGGCTCTCCCCCCAGTTAAACAGGGTTGTGATAACCCAGTTTGTCAGGTTTTTGTATCCTGTGAGGTTGTCGATGTTGCGCTTTCGAGTCAAAGGAGAAGTTGTACCACTTGGTGCCTTCAACTGAAGTGACAAGTCTCCACGACGTGTGAAATCAAGATTGACCTTAACCTGGACGTGTTCTAGGAATTTTATCGCGCAATTCCCAAACGTTATCGGAAAAACTTTATTCTGATCTGGAATGGGTCTGCAATGGAAAAAGAAAAACATTTCGTTGACATAACAGGTCGAAATATGATCCGCCATTTTGCATGCAAGAGCGCATCCATGATCCGATGGAAAACAGGAAGTCACTAAGCAATAAGCTATTTCCAAGTTGCTCTTACCTCTGATTCAAAACGAATCTTGGTGTACAACATTTCAAATGGAATTGAGATTTTCTTACACGTTCATTGTCTTGCAAATCAAACTCATTTCGATATAAAAGGTAGTGCACCAAGACTCGTTTTGAAACAGAATTTAAAAGGAAGTCGGAAATAGCTTATTGTTTTCGTCCCAAACAAAACTAGTAAGACGGTTAGAGACTTCCCCAAATGTTTCTATCGCTGTTCCATAAAGCAATATAGAGGCATTGAAAGCGGAGAAATTGTGATTTCAACTGGAAATGAAATTTCTTCTCGATTACTTCGGATCCCTGTCGCTATGTTACAAAAGAGCTGGTTCATATTTCTGTTTTTCAAAACTAATAAGGTAATATAAGCTAAAATGTTTATCAGTAGCTTCTTTACCTTTCAGTACTCTTTTCATATTTTTAACAAAAACACCATTCTTGTTAGCAAGCTCGTCCTAGCAATTGCCGCGCCCCCCTGTTTTATTGTAACGTTATGGAAACAAGGCACATTAATTATGAAAATAAACTACATAATTATTAATAATTATTACCATTTCAATCCCAATTTATATAAAATGTCGACTTATTTTTGTTTTGATTTGTTCTTACTTATGATCTATTGGTGGACAGACGCATAGATGACGTCATAATACTTTTCTGTTTCTTTATTATATAAAACTGGTTCCATGTTGCTGTGCGTCTGTTCAGTAATAGATCACAGAAGACGTTAAAATGTGGTAAGAACATCAGTGACACACTCGGCTATCGCCTCGTCTGCCAGGTTTTTGTTTGTACCACATATCAACGTCATCTGTGATCTATTACTGAACAGACGCAAAGAAACATGCGATCGATTTGTTTAGCTTACTTGTTTTCATCTGTGCTTTTAATCTCACATCTAAGCTGCGGACGAGGCACGGGTTTCCACTCTTTTGCCAGACTCACCATTCTCTCAGCATCCATGAGCCCAAAGCCGTAAAACTTGCTGACGTATAAACCAGCTTTGTTTTGCACCCAGTGTCCTCTTTTTAGTGGGATTCCTGTGGCTCCTGGGATCCCAGGCGCTCGTCTTGCGCTGTTAACTATCACGTGTTGAACATCACGCCAAGATAAATACGGACTGGAAGAGAAAATGGAACATGTATGGAATACTTGAGGAACACTTAAAATGACACGCCCTTGGATCTCCCACCACCACCATTTGAAACCACTCCATAAATGATCATGTGGTCAGTTTGGCTTTGAAAATGTACTAGATAACCTTTATCTCTCTGTAGTGAAATACACCTTACAGGAAATTCGCGTCAAAATGGTCCATTTTCTAGCTAGGAAACCGAGACAACTGAGTAGGAAGACTTCACGCCTATCTGTGCAGTGTCTCAATTTGAAGTAAAACTTTCGCAATAATCCTCAGGGAAATGCTGAATCGTAGAAGAAACTGCTCAGAGGTGTCCATAGCCTGTGTCGCAGCCGCCTCTCACCGAAAAGAAAAAGTCGAAGAGGAGCTGTAACGCAGGCTAAGGTGTAGATAGTTTATGTCTTCTTATGTCAGACAGACTAACACCGTACAAATGAGGTTTTACTCTTTCTATTTAGCCGTCTTGGTTAGAAGAAGGGTAATGCACGATTGTTGGACCCCACTCCAACCCCTTCATCCCATTGTACAGCAGTGGAACCTCGACATAACGAATGGCCAAGGGACTGGCAAAATATGTTCACTATAACGAGGTTTCGTTGTATCGAGGTTCTTCTCCATATATTTTACTCATACTGGGACCAGGAAACTCGTCCGTTATACCGAGGACTTCGTTGTATATAGGTTCTTTAAATCGAGATTCCACTGTAGCAGGCTTACTTTGCTTGAAGGGTAAGTGCAATCAGGCCTGACGCCATGGCTGTAGCCGCTGAAGTTGCCCCAAAATCAGTAACACAACCTAAACGATTATCAGCAGTTATCTGCATACAGAGAACAACTGTTAGGAAAATCAAGAACACAAGAATAACCTCTGATTAACCCTTCAGTAAAACTCAAACTCTTCTCGAAAAACGTTTATTCTCAACACCGCCGCCAAGCTGATAGCCTACGAGCAGCCTCGCGCGACATATGCGAGAGCCTGGAAGACTCCTTCCCCCCGGATTGCTTCGCTTGCCGACTAAATGTTCACCCGCGCGCCACTCAAATTGAGCCTGCTCACAGGCTATCAAACTGAATGGGAAAAATATTACTTCGCGTTAATGGGTTCACATGGTTATGCTTGTGGGTCAATGGGAGGATTTCCATCCAATTTTCTTTAACGTCTCTATTTTTTCGAGGTTCACTGACTGCCATTGACTGTCGTCGTGTTAAGATTAGACGGCAGCAGATAAAACAACAGTTAGTTTAAAAGTTTCTAATGTAGTAACTTGGTCACGAGAGTTGTTTAGGAAAAGCATGGAAGAGAGATTAGTAACCAACACGTACCACACACAGAAGACGTCGAAATGTGAACATCAGTGACACACGAGGCGATAGCCCAGTGTGTCGCTTTAGTTTGTTCTTACCACATTTGAACGTTCCCTATGTTCTATTAGGGACCTTAAGCAAACCACCACGACGAAGGCAACGACAACGTCACCAAAAAAAGGTCTAATGAGAAGAATAATAGTTATGCACGTGCGATATAAATCTTTGTAAATTTCTTTCCCGTCCGTCTACAAAACAACAACGTGAAATGACCAAGTTTTGCGTAGTCTGGTGAACGCGAACGACGACGGCTAATTTTTCGTATTTTCCATTCCGAATTGAATGCTGCCATTGCATATTTACACATGTAGCCTGAGCACGTTCTTAGAGCCATTGGGGCACTGAACAGATCTAGACAATTGCGAATTTTGCTGGAAAATATAAACTCGTTGTTGCCTAAGCGTCGTCCTCGGTGTCGTCGTCGTCGTCGTCGTCGTTGTTTAAGCTCCCAACTACTGAACAGACGCACGGCAACATGGATGTTGCTTGTTTTACAAAATAAAGCAAAAAGAACAATGACGCCACCTATGCGTCTGTCCTCCAATTGATCATAAGTAAGAACCAATCAAAATGCGAGAATGATTTGAGTTAATGTATACTCACGACTTTTCCAATATCCTTAAGCATGTCCCTACTGTACGCAGTGGCCATGATCCCGGGGCACTCTTCTGCGTAGCTCGGATTGGAGCCATCTGAGTTGACACCGTTAATGGCAATAGTATAAATGCTGTTGACGTAGCCGCTATACGCACAACTGTCACCAATTATCCCGCCATTACCAGCAGCAAACGTGTAGATGGCGCCCAGGCCTCCACGACCCTAGAATAAGACAGACCATGACAGATCAAATTAGATCTGAATTTAAGTCCTTAGGCTCTAGCCCCGACTAGAAGTTGATTAGTTCCAAAAAAAACAAAAATTCCATGAATCATCGAGATAGTGAATTTTAGAGGGCTTTGCACCAAATCCAGTTCGCCCCAGCATCCACTCTTGTATTCACGCTTAAAGAACGAGAAATGGTCAGTGGTTTTGAATTCTGGTTAGGGGGCTTACCGGCTCAGGGCTCACCAACTTGGGGGCTAAACGATCGGATACCTGATCAACGTCATTTCAAGATGAAAGGCGCGAACTAATTGATGATGTCAGGAACAAAATACCTCTTGCTTTCTCCTCCTTTTCCAACTATTCTAGTCTGAGAGAAAGACGATTTCTAATTTTAAAAGGCTGCATGTACATGTACCTACAACGTGCAACAAAAGTAATTGAGACACTTTTGGAAAATTTTCTATATTATCGATCTTTAGGAACCTAACGGGGAATTGAGGTCACCAAGAGGTCACCACACCACACCTCTTTTATGCCAATCTTTAGTGCTTCAGTGGTAAGTTGACCTGGTCCTTCCACTTGCCAAGCCATGTCACCAGGCCCCCAGCTGTTGGAGTAAATATCCACACTCTTTATCGCGTGAATTAACGCTTTGGACTCTGTTACATCCGTCGATTTGATGTCATCATCAAAGAGACGAATCCCTGGGACATAAGAGAAAATGATAAAGGAGTCAAAACAATCGGCCATACTCTCATTGGTACCAATTCTATAGGCCACGAAAAGGAAGCTAAAAATAGTTTTAACAGCTCTTAATGAATCCTCTTTTTACTCCGCAGAAAATTAATCCCCCCTCTTTTGGTGAAGTGCATGTTTTCGTTGAGTAAAAGCTTAAGTGCTAAAACTAAAAAGGCATACAAACCTCAAGCGATATAAATGCTTGTACTTTATGAAATAGGATAGAAATAACTGAAAGGGATTTGACTGAAATTTTTTTTCAAGTTTAAAGTACAGGTAGGTAATCTACAGATAACTAAAAGATAAATTGCCCTTTTTGCGATCAGTACTACAAATCTCTTGTGTATCTGCTATTCATTCCAACATAGTGGTTACTCCATGCTAAGTGCCTCACAACTGAAATTCCAAAAACTAAAATGAACCAATCAGATTGCTCCCTTGCTGGTCCAATATTCTCTAAGTATTGGACCGGGCACTGTCCCGATTGATCCCACACAATCTCTGTTGGGTCTACTTGCGAGTCCGTTTGGCCAAGCCTTGCGTGCACTTGCGTTGACTTGCCATAACTTGCGCTCACTTTGGTCGAGATCAAATTCCCGCGCAAGTCGACGCAAGTTTTCCACCGTTTGGCCACCCAACCCAAGTCAACGTAAGTTGAGTGACGTCCATTCGTTGTAGTAGCAACCTATTAGCCAATGAAATAGAGGATATGTAGCCTTGAATTTTTTTTTTTTCGGCGATTTGTATGTACTTGCAAGAAACTTGTAAGTCCGTTTGGCCGCCAACGCAAGTCTCTACGCAAGTTCAACTTGCGGCTACTTGCGACTACTTACGAGTCCGTTTGCCCAGGGCTTAACATTTTCAGTTTTCTTATGTTAGTCTCTCATAACCAAGCTTGCTTGGGACCATACTGGGAGAATATCGTATCTCCTAGTACGGCCCTCACACCTGGTTAATAAGATATATTTACCGCCGTAAGCACTTACTCCGACTATCATAGGTCCGTAATGCATACATAAATGTTTCAGCTACTTAGGCATCTGTACAAATGGTGTATGTTCATTTAAGGTTACATATAATGACTAATTTATTACCTGGTATAGCCTGGGGGTTGATACAGGGGGGTGGGGTAAGGTGTATGAAAGGACTTCCCATTATCCTTTGCTTCTAAGTTGATATATGCTTAACCTACCTGTGGTGTTTTGATCAATTCAAAGGGAGAGACATTTAAGTTTGCATATAATAGATCCCAATAACTGAACTCCTGAGGATATTGAGTCATTTCGAATGAATTCTTAAATCCACAGTGCTCAAAATTCACATTCAACTAACCTGCAATTTTAGCATCATATGCCAACCCCACACCACATACGTTATTATTGGCTACTCCTGCTATGACACCAGCACACATATTGCCATGACTAGAAAGGAATAATTAAAAACATTTTGATGTATTACTTACCTTGCTTACAAGAGGTGGTCGCTTACAAGAGGTGGTTGCTTACAAGAGGTGGTTGCTTACAAGAGGTTCCAAATACTGTGATTTGAATTGGAAACTTTTGGTATTTTGGAAAACTGGTCGCTGAGGAGAGGTGGTCGCTTACAAGTGGTGGTCACAACCAGTTCACTAACTAATTTAAATAAGTTAATTTGGGGCTAAACTTTTTCACTTTCAGAAGTTAAAAAATAA